CCTAGATGGACAGTGATCGACAGAGACAGCCAGACCGAGATCGACAGAGAGGGATCGAAATCGACAGAGATCGACAGAGAAGAGACCCACATGGACACAGATAGACCAAGATCGCTGGAGACAGACCGAGATAGACAAAAAGAGACCGACATCGACGGAGAATAGGCCAACATCGACAGAGAGAGGCCAAGATCAATAGCCAGAGACAAAAAAACAACCTTTGATTTAAGGCGGCGGTGGCCGTGGAAGTGGCGATGTCAGACGGCAGTGAGCACCGGAGGCCACCAACGCTTGGGTGGTCAGCGGGGGTCACGAACCCTTTGATTTGTTCAGTGGTTGTCCCAATTTGTTTATGAACACTTTGAAGTGTTACTCCTTTTGTGTTTATGAACACTTTGAAGTGTTACTCCTTTTGTGTTTATGAACACTTTGAAATGTTACTCCTTTTCTGGTTATGAACACTTTGAAATGTTACTCCTTTTCTGGTTATGAACACTTTGAAATGTTACTCCTTTTGTGAAATAATTTTTTCCATACAATTTATACTTTTTGTTGAAATTTACACCTTTTTTGAAAGCCCAACTTAAACCTTTTTCAAAAGTCACTTACATCTTTTGTGGAAAAAAAAATTCATCAAATTTATATCTTTTGCTAAAATTTACACCATTTCGTGGAAGTGCTTATATCTTTCTAAAAAGTTACTCATTTTGTGAAACTATTTATCTCGTCAGATTTATACTTTTTTTTCGAACATACACCTTTTGTGAAAGCAAAACTTAAGCCTTTTTCTGAAGTCAGTTATATCTTTTGTGAAAAAAAAAATTCATCGAATTTACAGATTTTGCCTAAACTTACACTTTGTCGTGAAAAAGCTTACACCGTTGCTGAAAAGTTACTCCTTTTGCGAAAGAATTTTTGTCATAAGATTTATATATTTTTTAAACTTACACCTTTTCTGAAAGCCCAACTTAAACCTTTTTCTGAAGTCACTTATATCTTTTTTGGAAAAAAAAATTTGATGAAATTTACACATTTTGCCTCAACTTACAGCTTTTCGTGAAAAAACTTACACCGTTACTGAAAAGTTACTCCTTTTGTGAAAGAATTTTTGGAATAAAATTTATACCTTTTATGAAACTTACACCTTTTCTGAAAGCCCAACTTAAACCTTTTTCTAAAGTCTCTTACATCTTTTGTGAAAAAAAAAAACATTCATATAATTTACACCTTTTGCTAAAATTTACACCTTTTCGTGAAAGTGCTTATATCTTTTCTGAAAAGTTACTCATTTTGTGAAATAATTTTGAAATTATTGTAAGTTCAAAAGGCGTAAGTATTATGTGTAAGTTGTCAAAAAATTCAAAAGGCGTAAGTATTATGTGTAAGTTGTAATATGGTGTAACTTTCAAAAAAGTTATAACTTGTTTTACAAAAGATGTAAGTATTATGTGTAAGTTGTCATTCATGTATGGTGTAACTTTCAGAAAAATATAACTTGTTTTACAAAAGATGTAAGTATTATGTGTAAGTGACAAAATTTTATGAAATCAAAATTTTCACATATGGTGTAACTTTCTGAAAATGTGTAACTTTCAGAAAAGGTATAACTAGTTTTACAAAAGATATCAGTATCATGTGTAAGTTGTCATTCACCTATGGTGTAACTTCCAGAAAATGTATAACTTATTTTACAAAAGATGTAATTTTTTTTACAACTTACATATAATACTTACGCCTTTTGAACTTACAATAATTTCAAAATCATTTCACAAAATGAGTAACTTTTCAGAAAAGATATAAGTACTTCCACGAAAATGTGTAAATTTTAGCAAAAGATATAAATTTTACGAATTTTTTTTCCCACAAAAGATGTAAGTTACTTAAGAAAAAGTTTAAGTTTGGCTTTCAGAAAAGGTGTAAGTTCCATAAAAGGTATAAATCTTATTACAAAAATTCTTGCACAAAAGGATAACTTTTCAGCAACGGTGTAAGTTTTTTCACGAAAAACTGTAAGTTTAGGCAAAATGTGTAAATTTCATCAATTTTTTTTTCCACAAAAGATACTTCTCACAGGAGGTTTAAGTATTTCAACGAAAAGGTGTAAATTTTAAAAAATAAATTATTTCACAAATGTTTAACTTTCCATAAATAGTGTAAGTGTTTTCACGGGAGATGTAAGTAACTTCGCAAAACCTGTAAGTTCCTAAATCCAATCAAACTATATTTGTCTTCTTCAAATAATGGCAATGTGAGAGAGAAGGGCGTTTCGGAGGGCTTGGTCTTTCTCTTAGTAGAAGTCCGTTTCAGAGAAGACGAGTTTGGGAGGACTTGGAATAGCGACTCCAAGTCCAAATCCAACGAAGAATGTCAATGTAAAAGAGAACCATTTTAAATATAGAGCAACGGACTGACAGAGAGAGATAGACTAAGATCAACAGACAGAGACCTAGATGGACAGTGATCGACAGAGAGGGACCGAATCGACAGAGAGGGACCGAATCGACAGAGACAGCCAAACCGAGATCGACAGAGAGGGACCGAATCGACAGAGACAGCCAGACCGAGATCGACAGAGACGGACCAAATCGACAGACACAGCCAGACCGAGATCGACAGAGACGGACCAAATTGATAGAGAAGAGACCACATGGACACAGACAGACCAAGATCGCTGGAGACAGACCGAGAGAGACCGACATCGACAGAGAAAGACCAAGATTGATAGCTAGAGAGAAAAAAACCTTTGATTTAGAGAGGGACCAAATCGACAGAGATCAACAGAGAAGAGACCACATGGACACAGACAGACCAAGATCGCTGGAGACAGACCGAGAGTGACCGACATCGACGGCCGACATTGACAGAGAGAGACCAAGATCGATAGCCAGAGAGAAAAAAACCTTTGATTTGCGGTGGCGGTGGTCGTGGAAGTGGCCGTGGCCATGGAGGCGACAGTGGTCGTGGAGGTGGCGACGGCAATGAGCACCGGAGGCCACCGACGCTCGAGTCGTCAGCGGGGGTCACGAACCCTTTGATTTGTTCAGTGGTTGTCCCAATTTGTTTATGAACACTTTGAAGTGTTACTCCTTTTGTGGTTATGAACACTTTGAAATGTCACTCCTTTTGTGTTTATGAACACTTTGAAATGTTACTCCTTTTGTGAAATTACTTTTTCCATAAAATTTATACTTTTTATTTAAATTTACACCTTTTGTGAAAGCCAAACTTAAACATTTTTCTGAAGTCACTTATATATTTTGTGAAAAAAAAAATTCATCAAATTTACACATTTTGCTAAAACTTACACCTTTTTGTGAAAATGCTTACACCGTGCCGAAAAGTTACTCATTTTGTGAAAGAATTTTTGTCATAAGATTTATACCTTTTCTTGAAACTTACACCTTTTGTGAAAGCCAAACTTAAACATTTTTCTCAAGTCACTTATATATTTTGTGGGAAAAAAAAAATCATCAAATTTACACATTTTGCTAAAACTTACACCTTTTCGTGAAAATGTTTACACCGTGCCGAAAAGTTATTCCTTTTGTAAAAGAATTTTTGTCATAAGATTTATACATTTTCTTGAAACATACACCTTTTGTGAAAGCCAAACTTAAACATTTTTCTCAAGTCACTTATATATTTTGTGGAAAAAAAAATTCATCAAATTTACACATTTTCTAAAACTTACACCTTTTCATGAAAATACTTACACCGTGGCGGAAAAGTTACTCCTTTTTTGAAAGAATTTTTGTCATAAGATTTATACCTTTTCTTAAAACATACACTTTTTGTAAAAGCCCAACTTAAACATTTTTCTGAAGTCACTTATATCTTTTGTGAAAAAAAAAATTTGTAAAATTTATATCTTTTGCTAAAATTTATATGGTGTAACTTTCAGAAAAAGTATAACTTGTTTTACAAAAGATATAAGTATTATGTGTAAGTTGTCATTCACGTATGGTGTAACTTTTAGAAAAGTATAACTTGTTTTACAAAAGCAGTAAGTATTATGTGTAAGTTGTCAAAATTTTTTGAAATAAAATTTTTCACATATGGTGTAACTTTCAGAAAATGTATAACTTTTTTTACAAAAGATATAAGTGTTATGTGTAAATTGTCATTCACATATGGTGTAACTTTCAGAAAATGTATAACTTGTTTTACAAAAAATGTAAGTATTACGTGTAAGTTGTCAAAATTTTATGAAATAAAATGTTCCACATATGGTGTAACTTTGACAAAAGGTATAACTTGTTTTACAAAAGATGTAAGTATTATGTGTAAGTTGTCAAAAGTTACGCCTTTGGTGAGTAATTTTACAAAAGTTGTAAGTTGTCAGAAAAGTGTAAGAACTTTCACAAAAAAGTGTAAGTTCTCATAAAAGGTGTAAGTTTTCACAAAAGCAGTAAATTTTCACAAATTGTGTAAATTTTCAAAAATCCCTTACGCTTTTTTCTGAAATTACTTAGGCCTTTTGTTAAAATTTACGCCTTCTGTGAAAATTTACACATTTTGTAAAATTATACATTTTCTGACAAAATTACACTTTTAGTCATATAATATATTCTTTTATTCGTTTACCTGTTGGTGAAGCAGGTCACCAATGTGTTAGTTTTTAAATATTTGGGTATAACTCAATACCCAAAAAGATGTAAAGATAACATAGAAAGATGTAAGTGCCTTGCATACCATATGCAAGACACACTTAAGAAAAGCTTTTTATTGTTTTGAATCTTTTAATTTTGGGTGACAGGACAAATAAAAGGGCACCTTTCTCAATCCCATTGGCCCTATTAAAAAGTATCCGTTACAAACTCGAACGTTAAGCCTACCGTTAGGAACTAACTTTTTAAATCCACACATTTTCTTTTACGACTGGAGAATCAGATACTTCCACATAAACAACCTCCCTTGGCCTCTGGTGAGTTCCTATATATTCTAACCTTGGTGTTCCTCTCTATCTGCATCCTCGTATTCTCGAAGCTTCACACCCTTCTCTCTCTCTCTCTCTCTCTCAGCAGTTTGTTTTCAAGAAAGGAGGAGAGATGGGTATGGTTGTGGTGATCTCACTGCCATTGATTCTCTTCTCAATACTGCTTGGTTTTGGGTGTTATTTTCTGGGTAGAGCCAAAGGAAGAAAAGAAGCCTACAACCATGCTCAAGTTTTTGGGGTACCAACACCACCGCCTGGTAGCACCGGTACTGCTTCACCCCCTCCAACCCATTTCAAGCTAGACAACTCCACCATTGTTTAATCACCCGACACACAAACCCAAAAAAAAAAAATCTGTTAATTTATTGATTTGTTATGTAGAGTACATCTTGTTCTTTCCAGCGGAACTTTGTGCACTAAGTCATCTTTGTATTGGGTTGTTTGTTTGTTTGATGATAGTAAAAAAGCCCAATTGGTGTGGGCATACATTGGTTTGATGGAAATTGGTTGCATGATGAAATGAAATAATGAGATTGTTATAAAGTTATAATTTTTTTTATTTAACTTTTGCTGTGAAAAATAAAATGATATTACATCAGTTTTTATAAAAGTAAAATGCTTTACAAACTAATAAATTTTATAAAAGTATTATTTATTGATGTAACATTTATCATATTATTAAAGTAATTAATGTTGGTCATTGTTTAAGCAGTCAATAGAAGCCTCCAAAATTGTCAATACTCCTTAATTATCAATTAAACATGTTGATGTGGAGCTTCCAAACTATTAAAGTTGTATAGAAATCATAGATTTTGATATAAATTTTGGAAAGAAAAAGAAAAAAATGTAAATCTTTTTGTAAATAAAATATTAGTTTTTTTTTTCCCTCCATGTGTGCAACTCAAAGCACACCCACAGGAACTTTTGAGTCGTACCCCACCACACAAAGAGCTTTACATTTTTTTTTTTGATTTTCTACTCTGCATTGTTATTTCTCCTTGGAAATAATACCATGTGCACAATATCACAGTGGTACTCTGAAGTTTTGAATAATTATTTAAAATAGTTACTCTCAGAATGTGAGATGTATATAGGAGAATTCTATTATTATATACATCTTATATTATACACTTTTAGTTACGTCATTTTCGTTTTTAGTTATGACCAATTTTCTTCTTTAGTTATGATATTATTTTGAATTATTTGGTTTGGACTTTTTTGTGTTTGGTTATGATTTTTTTTTTTTTCTAAAGTAATGACTCAAAAAATATGAAATTATATCATTTTTATTATACTCAAATTTTGTGCTCGTTCATGGTGTTTGAGCCCAATAAGTCTGGGTTTGGTGTAAATTGAGTAGTATGATGAAATTATAAGATTGTTATAAAGTTGGATTTTTAATATTTAACCTTTCACTATGAAAAATTAAATGATATTAAATCGGTTTTTGCAATTAGTTTTGATGATGTATCGGTTCCCGGGTGAATGGGTCGGACCGGCCCAGGCTCTTCAGGCTCCGGCTCAAGAAGGAGACTCCGTCAGATGACCTGCATGCAAGTTCGGGGGGGAACGGGGTAGTCCCCCAGTGAACCCTCCGGTGAAAGAATTAGTAGAGCAGAGTATAAAAAAAACTGTATATCGAGAGATCAAGAGAGAGATAACAACCTTTTTCTTTTCTCTTATCCTTGCTTATATCCTTTTGTCATCATTTTTCCTGTCTCTTGTGACGTGCTTTTTCCGCCGAAAGCCTGTGCCATAGCTCATCTTGTTTAGGGTGATGGAGGCTCTGTTCCGGCGGGGAGTGCTGTTGTAATAAATGCTGTGATGGGTTGCATTAATGGTGATGTGTTGTGATAATAACTCTGCAGATCTTTGTCTGCTGATGTGGCCCGTGTCCCACCTGCCGTGTGCCTAAATGCCGTTGGCCCTTCATGTCTAGGTGGCCTCCAGCTGTTCTGGGCCTTGTCAACCGGGTTGTGCCATTGGCCCCAAGCGATGGGTTCGGGGTGGTTTGCCGTGGGCCGTATGCCTTGTGGGCCTATCCATGTCAAGTTTAGTACAAGAATTTTGGAGCTTTAGTTCCACTAAAGCAATAATTGTGCTATCAATACAAAAATTGATCATATAATTGGATACAAAATATATAAATGAAATGATAAAAAAAATTATAAATTTGTTAGTGAAATTTATTTTTATCTTCTTTTCAAAAGAAAACCGAAAACAAAAATGATTCAACCAATCGATTGTCATGAATACGGAGTATGTTTTATGGGGGAAATTACTGGGAAAATGGTTTTTAGGAGAAAAAAAAAACATTACAAAAAATCATGGAGAACAGTTTATAAATTAATTACACTAGAGGTGGAAAGTCAAACATAATTACTAAAATATAGTATAATCTTTATTTTTTATTTCATTTTTAGCCGTCTTTTTCTTCTCTTTTCTCACTTTTCTCTCTTCTTTTTTAATCCCATCAGAACCCTAAACCACAAATGCAAATGTTTAAGATATCAATAATTTAGAGGTACTTAACGCTGCTCTCAATTATTTCGATGTACGCAACATTGCTCTTAGAAATAGCAATTGTTCCAATCCACATGCATGCAAAATCATGCATCAAAGAAGATGGCGTAGTAAGACTTCCACCTCAAGGGAAGTGAAAGTCTGAGCTGAGCATCTGCTCTCCCTTCCCTTCCCGCTGTTGCCTCTGTTGATTTTTACCATTCACCATTAAATTTTTTGGTTGGTTGGTGTATCTCTCTCTCCCACTCTTCGTGCATAAATAGAGACAGGAGAGAGAGGATGTTTTGTATCAGAAATTTGAGAGAGAGAGCTGTGAGTTGAGTGAGTTCTATCTCCTCATCTGTATTTGTATTTTGCTCCATTTTAGTGAAAAATTCTCATTTCTGTCCGTGGATATAGGCATTGGGCCGAACCACGTAAATATTGTGTTCTGTGTGTGTGTGAGATAATTTATCTGGGTGTGTTTGATCCTAACAAAGTGGTATCAGAGCAGGTTGAGTCTTTTTTCGGAAAAACAGAGTGCATTTTTCGAAATGCCCAGAAACCAAAGTGGTTGAAATCCACTTTTGATCAGACAAAGTTAAAGCCCTCGAAGAGACGAGCACAGAGGTGAAAACCTCGTCGAAAACGGAGATCGGACGGCCACTCATGCGCCACACGCGCTTTGTGACGCCGTTCCCACGCGCCGCCACCCTCACACGCGCCTCACGCGCTTCCAGAGGAAGAAGAAGCGTGATTTCACGGGCATACACGCACCGCACGTGCGCGCGCCAGTCGACGTCATCATCCAAGCCGTTGACCAAGCCTTCCAGCCGCTGACCAAGCCGATCAAAGCCGAGCCGTTAAACCGATCTGGGCCGAAGCCAAAGCCGCTGACCGAGCCGCTGACGTCAGCCCGACGCCAGCCGAACCGGAGAAATAATCTGGTGCTTCTCAGCCGCACCAGATTCTGCCGATCTGAACTATTCAATCTGTTTTGGCTTGATCTAAGCCATTTGAGGTCCGATTTTGGTGATCCAATAGTGCTTTTCAACTATTTGGAATATTCCAGACACATCCGTATGGTCAAATTTTTTAAATTAACTTTCAAAAATTTGCAGTCTTTCTTTTGGCAATCCGAAGTGCTTTTCAGCGTAATTTGATCAGTCCGGACTCAACGGCGAAGTCTAATGGAGGAATCAACGTAGACTTCAGGTTCCATGATAAAGTTAAATGCTTCCAATTATGCCATTTGGAAGCCCAGAATGGAAGATGTCATGTACTGCCGAGATTTGTTTGACTCCATTGAGCTTAATGGAGTTAAACCACCAACGGAAAAAGATGAAGACTGGAAGCGGAAGAACCGAAAGACCATTGGCCAGATCAGACAATGGATCGATCACAGTGTCTTCCACCATGTCGCCCAGGAGACTGATGCCTATGCTCTCTGGACAAAGTTAGAAGGCATGTACCAGTTGAAGACTGCCCAGAACAAAGCCCTCCTGATGAGAAGACTTGTGAATTTGAAGTTGAAAGGCGGTATCTTTGTTGCTGAACACACCAGTGAGTTTCAAAATCTGGTGAACCAACTAGCAACTGTCAAAATGGAGCTAGATGATGAGATGCAGGCCCTATTGCTGCTCAGTTCTTTGCCAGACAGTTGGGAGACATTGGTGGTGTCCCTCAGCAACTCTGCTCCAAAAGGGAAACTAACCATGAGCATGGTTACAGATGCTTTATTTAGTGAAGAGGCAAGAAAGAAAGAAATGGGTGGAGATCAATCCCATGCCTTCGTCACAGAAAATAAAGGCAGAGGCAGAGACAGAGGCAGGGGCAGGGGAAGAAGCAAAAGTAGAGGACGCAGCAGAGGAAGATCTCAAGACAGAGGGAAATCCAGAGAAGGTACGAGCCGGCCAATGTTCAAATGTTACCATTGTGGTCAGGAGGGTCACATAAAGAAGTATTGCTATGCCTTGAAGGGAGAACAAAAACAAGGCAATAGACAGCCAAAGACCGAAGATGGGAACTCTGCAGTTACTGTCTCAGAGGATATTGCATTATTCTCTGTTGAAGAAGAAGAATGCCACCATATATCAGACAACGACATCAAGTGGGTGGTAGATACAGCAGCTTCCTACCACGCTACATCCCAGAAGGAGTTCTTCAGTACGTACCAAGCTGGAGATTTTGGTACAGTGAAGATGGGTAACTCCAGTTTTTCAAAGATTGTGGGAATTGGTGATGTTCGCATCCAAACCAAAGTTGGGTGCACGATGGTGTTAAAAGATGTCAGGCATGTTCCCCGATTTACGCCTGAATCTTAACTCAGGGATAGCCTTAGATCGGCAAGGCTATGAGAACTACTTCGGGAAAAGGCATATGGAAGTTGAAAAAGGGATCTCTCGTGGTAGCTCTAAAGGACAGGCAATTGGCACACTATACAAGACTCATGTGGAGGTGAATTCAGATAGCCTCAACGCAGCAGAAGATGAGGCGTCACCAAATTTGTGGCACAAAAGGCTGGGTCATATGAGTGAGAAAGGGTTGCAGATTTTGACAAAGAAGTCACTTATTCCCTTTGCCAAAGATGCGAAATTGAATCCTTGTGACAACTGCTTATTTGGAAAGCATCATAGAGTCGCTTTCCATTCATCATCCAGAAAACAATCAGAGTTGTTGAGCAGAGTATACTCTGATGTTTGCGGTCCCATAGAAGTGGAATCTTTGGGTGGCAGAAAATACTTCCTGACGTTTATTGATGATGCATCACGGAAGGTATGAGTTTATGTCTTAAAGACCAAAGCTGAGGTGTTTCAACATTTTCAGACATTCCATGTTATGGTGGAAAGAGAGACCGGAAAGAAGCTGAAATGTCTCCGAACAGACAACGGAGGCGAGTACACGTCAAAGGAATTTGAAGCCTACTGTGCTACTCACGGCATCCGACATAAGAAGACTGTTCCTAGAACCCCACAACACAATCGTGTAGCCGAGAGAATGAACCGAACCATTGTGGAGAATGTCAGATGTGCTCAAAATGGCAAAGCTGCCAAAGCCATTTTGGGGAGAAGCTATTCGTGTTGCTTGTTATTTGATCAACAGATCGCCATCAGTTCCACTGAATTTTCAGATTCCAAAAGAAGTATGGTCTGGAAGGGAGATTTCTTACTCTCACTTGAGAGTGTTTGGGTGCAAAGCATTTGCACATGTATCCAAGGAGCACAGACAGAAGCTGGATAACAAAGCCACTCCATGCATCTTTATTGGCTATGGAGATGAACAATTTGGATACAGATTGTGGGATCTGAAAAACAAGAAGGTCATTTGAAGCCGAGATGTGGTGTTTCAAGAAGGCCAGACTGTAGAAGACTTTAGGAAACCAACCAAATCCAAAGTTGATGATGTTACAGAAATTATTCCAAACCCTGCACCATCACAGCATGCCACTGATGAAGAAGAGCTACCACAGTATGCAGCCAATAATGTAGAGTTACATGATGGACTTCTAGAAGAAAAAGATCCAGAAGTAGAGGGTGTTGAGCAGAGGGAGCCACAACCCCCTCTACCAGAGACTGTTGGTCCACAGTTACAAAGATCAACAAGAGAGTTTAAGCCGTCAACCAAATACCCTACTTCTGAGTATATTTTGCTTACCGATGAGGGGGAGCCAGAAAGTTTTCAAAAAACTCAAAATCATAAGGAGAAGAGTAGCTGGCAACAAGCTATGCAAGAAGAGATGCAATCCTTGCAGAAGAATCAGACTTATGATTTGGTGAAACTTCCCCAGGGTCGAAAAGCATTGCAGAACAAATGGTTGTTCAAGTTGAAGAAAGATGGCAGCGGAAAGCTAGTCAAGTATAAGGCTCGATTGGTTGTCAAAGGTTTTGGGCAGAAGAAATGTATTGATTTTGATGAAATCTTCTCGTCAGTTGTGAAAATGACATCCATTCGAGTAGTTTTGGGACTAGCAGCTAGTTTGAATTTGGAACTTGAACAAATGGATGTGAAGATGGCATTTCTCCATGGTGATCTGAAGGAAGAAATTTACATGGAGCAGCCAGGAGGTTTTGAAGTCAAAGGGAAAGAAAACTTAGTCTGCAAATTGAAGAAGAGTCTCTACGGCCTTAAACAAGCGCCGAGACAGTGGTACAAGAAGTTTGACTCATTCATGGTAGGTCATGAGTACAAGAGAACTGCTGCAGACCAGTGTGTTTATGTCAGGAAATTTCCCGGTGAAAACTTTATCATACTTCTGCTCTATGTTGATGACATGTTGATCGTTGGACAAGATGCCACAACAATCAGATCACTGAAGAAGGAGTTATCACAGTCCTTTGACATGAAGGACCTAGGCCCTGCACAGCAAATTTTGGGCATGAAAATTGTGCGTGATAGGAAAGCCAAGAAGTTGTGGCTGTCACAGGAGAAGTACGTTGAACGGGTGATTGAGAAGTTCAACATGAAAGATGCCAAGCCAGTCAGTACTCTACTGGCTAATCATTTCAAGCTGAGCAAGAATTCTTGTCCCTCCTCTACGAAGGAAAGACAAGAGATGGAGGCGATTCCCTACTCATCCGCTGTAGGGAGTTTGATGTATGCAATGGTGTCCACCCGACTAGATATTGCTCATGCGGTTGGAGTTGTAAGAAGATTCATTTCCAATCCAGGAAAAGAGCATTGGGAAGCAGTCAAGTGGATTCTGCGGTACCTCAAGGGTACAACAAAAATGTGTTTGTGCTTTAGAGATGCTAAACCAGTCTTGGAAGGCTATACTGATTCAGATATGGCAGGCGATCTTGATGGTAGGAAATTTACATCAGGATTTCTGTTCATTTTCGCAGGGAGAGCTGTGTCTTGGCAGTCCAAGCTGCAGAAGTGTGTTGCTTTATCCACAACCGAGGCAGAGTATATTGCCACAGCGAAAGCCGGGAAAGAAATGTTGTAGTTGAAACGATTTCTCCAAGAGTTGGGATTAAAGCAAGAAAAGTTTACGGTACATTGTGATAGCCAGAGTGCCATACACCTGAGCAAGAATTCAATGTACCATTCTCGCACAAAACACATTGATGTTCGGTATCATTGGATACGCGAAGTGATGGATAAGCAGTTATTGGAACTAATCAAGATCCACACAGATAAGAATCCAGCTGACATGCTTACAAAGGTGGTCTCGAGAGACAAACTCGACATCTGCAGAGACATTGCAGGGATGAACTTCAAGTGAGAAGTCAGTCATGCATGTGGGTATGGAAGGGGAGAATTGTTGTTCCAACCAACATGCATGCAAAACCATGCATCAAAGAAGATGGCATAGTAAGACTTCCACCTCAAAGGAAGTGAAAGTCTGAGCTGAGCATCTGCTCTCCCTTCCCTTCCCGCTGTTGCCTCTGTTGATTTTTACCATTTACCATTAAAGAGGGTTGAAATTTTTTGATGGGTTTGTGTATCTCTCTCTCCCACTCTTTGTGTATAAATAGAGACGGGAGAGAGAGGATGTTTTGTATCAGAAATTTGAGAGAGAGAGCTGTGAGTTGAGTGAGTTCTATCTCCTCATCTGTATTTGTATTTTGCTAAATTTACACATTTTGTAAAATTATACATTTTCTGACAAAATTACACTTTTAGTCATATAATATATTCTTTTATTCGTTTACCTGTTGGTGAAGCAGGTCACCAATGTGTTAGTTTTTAAATATTTGGGTATAACTCAATACCCAAAAAGATGTAAAGATAACATAGAAAGATGTAAGTGCCTTACATACCATATGCAAGACACACTTAAGAAAAGCCTTTTATTGTTTTGAATCTTTTAATTTTGGGTGACAGGACAAATAAAAGGGCACCTTTCTCAATCCCATTGGCCCTATTAAAAAGTATCCGTTACAAACTCGAACGTTAAGCCTACCGTTAGGAACTAACTTTTTAAATCCACACATTTTCTTTTACGACTGGAGAATCAGATACTTCCACATAAACAACCTCCCTTGGCCTCTGGTGAGTTCCTATATATTCTAACCTTGGTGTTCCTCTCTATCTGCATCCTCGTATTCTCGAAGCTTCACACCCTTCTCTCTCTCTCTCTCTCTCTCAGCAGTTTGTTTTCAAGAAAGGAGGAGAGATGGGTATGGTTGTAGTGATCTCACTGCCATTGATTCTCTTCTCAATACTGCTTGGTTTTGGGTGTTATTTTCTGGGCAGAGCCAAAGGAAGAAAAGAAGCGTACAACCATGCTCAAGTTTTTGGGGTACCAACACCACCGCCTGGTAGCACCGGTACTGCTTCACCCCCTCCAACCCATTTCAAGCCAGACAACTCCACCATTGTTTAATCACCCGACACACAAACCCAAAAAAAAAAAATCTGCTAATTTATTGATTTGTTATGTAGTACATCTTGTTCTTTCCAGTGGAACTTTGTGCACTGGAAATTGGTATTGGGTTGTTTGTTTGTTTGTTGATAGTAAAAAAGCCCAATTGGTGTGGGCATACATTGGTTTGATGGAAATTGGTTGCATGATGAAATGAAATAATGAGATTGTTATAAAGTTATAATTTTTTTTATTTAACTTTTGCTGTGAAAAATAAAATGATATTACATCAGTTTTTATAAAAGTAGAATGCTTTACAAACTAATAAATTTTATAAAAGGATTACTTATTGATGTAACATTTATCATATTATTAAAGTAATTAATGTTGGCCATTGTTTAAGCAGTCAATAGAAGCTTCCAAAATTGTCAATACTCCTTAATTATCAATTAAACATGTTGATGTGGTGCTTCCAAACTATTAAAGTTGTATAGAAATCATAGATTTTGACATAAAAATGTAAATAAAATATAAGTTTTTTTTTCCTCCGTGTGTGCAATTCAAAGCACACCCACAGGAACTTTTGAGTTGTACCCCACCACACACAGAGTTACACCTACCATGTTTTACATTTTTTTTTTTTTTTGATTTTCTACACTGCATTGTTTTTTTAGTATTTGTTGATGTCTTTGGGAAGCCTCAATTCTCTCTCTTGGGAGTTAGAAGAAAAAAGGAAGCACATGTCAATCTATGGTCATGCATGATGCAAGCAGAATGCTATCAAACAGGGGTGGTTGAAACCATATATTATATTCCGACACCTCTTGGAATATACTAATTTGACTTTAAATTAAAACAAGAAACTTGTTAAAATAATTTAGGATTTCACTTAAGATTATTTTAATATTGTGTTTAAATCTTAAATTTTGAGATGAATTTGTGAAAATAAATAAATAAATGAAATTTTAATTTATATTTTATTCATATTTTTATTTATTTATTTATTCATATGTAAATCTCTCTCTATTTAAATTCAAAAGCAACATAAGAGTAATTGTAATTTCATTCATAACCATTACTCTCTTTAAAAAGTTGGACTACTAGTTTGAACCTTGGCCATAATTGAACCAAATCCAGCCTTAGCAAAAATTACTTGTCAATAATATATTGAGAACTTTCCATACCACCTAAAAAAAAAGGTCAGAAATTTTGACAAACAGTGTTCATAAAATTTTGTTAACATCAAAATTGGAATATACTAATTTGACCTTAAATTAAAACAAGAAACTTGTTAAAATAATTTAGGATTTCACTTAAGAGTATTTCAATATTATGTTTAAATCTTAAATTTTGAGATGAATTTGTGAAAAAATAATAATAATAATTAATTTATATCATTCATAATTTCTTTTATTTATTTATTTATTTATTCATATGTAAATCCCTCTCTAAATTTTAAATTCAAAAGCAACATAAGAGTAATTTCATTTATAACCAATACTCTCTTTAAAAAATTGGGCTACTAGTTTGAATCTTGGCCATAATTGAACCAAATCCAGCCTTTTCAAAATTACTTGTCCATAATAAATCAAACCAAACCAAAAAAAAAAAGGTCAGAAATTTTGACAAACAGTGTTTATGATATTAGTAAATCCTTCCATCCAAACGGCGTGTTAGTATAAAATTTGCCTTCATTCAATTAATTTGCAATTTTCTATTGACTAATGTCATAATTACGTCCCATATTAAGATATTAATTTTTGTCTTTTTGGAGGAGCATAAATAGATCCAAAGGCTGTTTTTAAGCAGCACAAACAGAGCAGACTCAGATGATATCTTTAATTTTCAAACCCAACTACAACAACATACAGAGTACAACATTTGGATTTGGACTAGGACTAAAGCAGAGTCACCCTTCTAATCTCCTCCTCCTACTCTCTTCTTCCAAGGTATGCTCTAATCTTTCTCTCTCTCTCTAGGTTGTGAAAGATTGTCTTAGTTTCTTTTCATATGCCGATGATCTGTTTGTTCTTCATTTAAACTCCTGTTTTGAATTGGGTTTTTGTTATTTGAGCTTTGATTACTGTGTTTGATGGAATTTAATTCTCAATTTGGATTATTTGGTCTCTACCCACTTGTTGTTTCACACTATATGTCAATATATAGCAGAAGATAAAGAGATCACGTTAAGTTTAGGCTTATACTAGAGAACCCTGTATATTGAACTGGTATTGGTTTTTGATTTTTGATTTTTGGATTTGAAGTTTGAACTCTATTTTTTAATATTTTTTAGGCGTACTTAATTTGTTCTTCATGTAGTCCAGAAAAAAAAAAATATGGAGCTCAGTAGAAGTTTTTTCCACAAAGAACTCACCATTTCTCAGTAGGACAGTAATCTAGGGTTTTGAAAATGCGATTCTTGCTTCCTTTATCTTCATTTTGTATTGAAAATGAGGTTTAAGATGCTAAAAAACTATAATCCCCATTTAAATAAAATAAAAAATGGAACTGTTTTTAGTAGCAGAAATTTATTAACAAAGGCGCAGCAAGTTGTTACCCAGATCAACTCTTGATGGACTCAAAAGTAAAACTAATGTTGAATAAAGTGTTATAAGTTTATCAAAGAAAAGCACTGATTTGGAGAAGACCCACAAATTGTTGAAGAATAGTTTGCTATACACACGCACAATGGTTTGGTTGGTTTTTTCCTTGATCAATCCATGGATGGGTTGTTCAAGTTTGTGCTAAGTCTTATTTTTGACACGGGTGTCAATGAACTGCGTTGGCCGGAAAGTTCTCCTGCAGTCTGTTGTTGGGCATGAGTTGTAATTTTTTTGATGAATCGAATGATATCCCGGGATGAAGTGACGAATTTCCCCATAACTAAGATAAGACACAAAAACAAATTCATTTAAATTCCTATTGGAATTTTATCGTTACTATTTGTATGAGGACATGTGCTTCAATGATGTTATTTTCGTCCACAACTTGAATTTTTTGTCGGAGGGAATTGCTACTGATTTCTCCAGTGTTAGTTTCTTCAGCGCACTACCCAAATGGCTCGTTCTTCACTGGATGAGATGTCAGAATCTGGTGCCTTTCTAAGAACTCCTTCAACATTCCGTAATTTTATTTCACGAGACCCAAATTCTACTTTCCCAGCAGAAGCCGGAAGATATCATCTGTATATATCGTATGCTTGTCCCTGGGCATGCCGATGCCTTGCATACTTGAATATCAAAGGTCTTGACAAAGCCATCAGATTCACAGTAAGTTATACAATAAGTTCTTATAGCTAGATAGAACTTTAATTTTTACTTAATTTTTTTGGGGGGTCTTTCTTCAAATCTCAGTGTGTGAAACCCAAATGGGAGAGGACAAAAGATACTGATGAGCACATCGGATGGGTCTTTCCTGCCTCGGAGACGGAGGAACCAGGAGCTGAACCTGACCATTTGAATGGAGCAAAAAGTATAAGAGAACTATATGAGCTTGCTAGTACAAACTATTCTGGAAAATATACAGTTCCTGTATGTATATATAATTCTTATAAATGATATTTTCTCTTGATAAGTTATTTTCTACGCTTGAATTTCTCAGACTGATATAATGGATTTATTGTGCTTGTTGATAGGTTCTTTGGGATAAGAAACTCAAAACAATTGTGAGTAACGAGAGTGCAGAGATAATCCGCATGTTTAATACTGAATTCAATGATATAGCAGAGAATGCAGCTTTGGACCTTTATCCTCCTCACTTGCAAGCCCAGATCAATGAGATTAACGACTGGATTTATGACGGGATAAATAATGGTGTTTATAAATGTGGATTTGCTAAGAAGCAAGGGCCCTATGAAGAGGTAAACATTTATTGTGCTTTTCTTCTTCTTCTTTTTTTTTCTTTTTTTTTTCCCCATTTTGGGGAGGGTGGGGTGTCTTTGACTACGTGTTTAAAGAATGCATTCATCCATGTTTCTGCAGGCTATGAAGAAATTGTATGAGGCTTTGGACAAATGTGAGGAGATACTAGGCAAGCAGCGGTACTTATGTGGGAACACAGTTTCTGAAGCTGATATAAGGTTGTTTGTCACCCTTATAAGATTTGATGAGGTATGGATATATATATATATATATATATATTTTCCAAGAGAAGACTTGTGAGTTATGACTGTTTTTAACATTGAGAGCTGTATCATATACTTTGTTGCTTACTATTTGAGCTTAACTAGTGTTTTACTTGTGTCGTTATTATACTTGTGCCAAATTGTCCAGGCATGTATAGACAATTCATGCCTGTAATATTATATATAGTTGTGTATATACAATTAAATGAATGTATGAAACGAAAATTTTGGGATTATTACAAGGGATATCAAACTGGGAGAGAGATTTTTATTAGTAATCTTAATGGCCATGTAGGGAGAGGAAGTGTGGCTGTTTTGGATTTGGAGATAGAAATGAAGGTAGTGTTATGCTAGTGTTTGCAATGATATATGACTTTGTAATAGTGAACACTTAAATGTAGGTATGAATATTTTACGTATCAAATATTTGTGTACATTTGTTCTTAGACGAAGTGGAATAACAAGACAAAAACTTTATAGCATACCAAGCATAGAGGATCATTTTTTTTTTGTTGAGTTTAAGAGATGGAACACTTATCTAATTCTTTTTCAGTTCAAATTGTCACTAAACAGATCAAATTTCACCATACTGCAGGTTTATGTGGTTCACTTCAAGTGTAACAAGAAACTGATTCGCGAGTTCCCAAACCTTTTCAATTACATTAAAGACATATATCAAATTCCCGGCATGAGTAGCTCGGTCCACATGGAACACATCAAGCGGCATTATTATGGAAGCCATCCTTCCATCAACCCCTTCGGGATCATCCCTCTTGGCTCGAACATTGATTACTCTGCTCCTCATGACAGAGAAAGGTTTTCCAATTAGAATGATGTGTCTCAAAATTCTAAGCTGAAATGTTTGTTGTTTGGTTTGTATGTTTTTTTTATCTGTCTATGTGACGTCCTGTGAGAGACTCTTCCTTTTGACTTAAAACTTATCCATAAAGGGGAGGATATATAGGTGTGTTATCAAAAAGGATATGGATCCATTTTTCTTCTACCTTTTGAAAGGGTGTGCTATGTTTTACTCTTTTTCTTTTAGGATGTTTTGTTTTCTCATATGATTGAACGTTTAATTCTCTCTCCAAATTTATTTATGATAACATTATTGGAGCAGAAGAAGTCTAATTAATGAGTGTCGTAAAGAATAACATGGCACACTCAGCTTCAAGGGATTCACAAATTAAAGCCATACTGAAACTGTTCTGCACCAGAAAGTAAAACAAAAAATTAAGATGCATTGCATTGCATTGGATTTTCATTTTATTTTGTAAAGTCCCCAACTGCAAAAGAAGCCTTCCAGTCCAGTGGGAGTAAAAATATCACGTGTTATTGAATTTTTTCCATCTAACTCAAAGCATTCTTCCCTGTTTGTTTTTTTAAAATTCTTGGAAAGTTATTTTGTGTTGCTGAAGCAAATCCAACCAAAGCCACATTTGAATTAAAATTTCAACAAGAGGGTGGGTGGGCAAGCAACAAAGAAGCAATTTTGGACAAGAAGAAGAAGAAGAAGAAGAAGAAGAAGAAGAAGAAGATGAGTGAGTGCATCATGGTAATAAGAAGCTATTCAACTAAAGAACGACAACACATCAGAGTGGTTGATTCCAAAAAACATACAACGATGGCATAGTTCAGTTGTAATTATTACTTTTATTTCAGTAATTTGAATAATTAACAATACAAAAACAAAATAAATAAATAAATAAATAAATAAACTTGAATTGTACATGCCTAAAAAAAGGAAAAAAGGCACAAGAGATTGGCATATACCCCTATCCACGTACAAAAATAATTCAAGAGAGATTAGTGTTTGTGTTAGGGTTTAGGGTTTAGAATGAAGAATGGGGGGTTGGGGTTGGGGTTGGGGTTTGGTGGGAAGAGAGACAGACGGAGAGGGAGAGCTGGGCTTGCTGGCACTGGGACCGCTTCAGAGCTGTGCCCCCGCTCGAACATAGGCTCCGGACTGCCTCCGCCTCTTCGGGGCAGGCCACACCCACCAGGCACTCCGCAAGCGACCGATTCAGGTGCCGGCACGCCGCCTCTCGCGGCGGACCATCGGGGACACGCCGGTGGCACTCCAGCAGCGCCCTCTGCAGCCGATCGCACCCACCTCCTCTCTGGTTACCTGCTCCTGCTCCTGCTCCTGCTGCTGACATGTCTGTTGGATTGGGCCGGGCCCCTCAATAATACGTATAGCAGTACAGCCATAGAAAGAAAGAAAGAAAGATCAAGGCCTTGGTTTGTTTTTGAGGGATAAATTTTGTTTGGATTAGTGATTTTAGAAAGAAAAAAAATTCAAAATTTCTTTTTATCTTCTATACATCAATCAATCATTTTTTCTCTTACATACATCTTCTCAACTATAAGAAAATATCAAATTATTCTGAACTCCCACACTCCAAAACTATTTTCAAAATATACAATCAAGCAAACCAAAAAAATTTCTAGACTCTTTTCTCAAGATTTTTTTTGAAAATTTATCTCCAAATACCAAACCAAACACTTGTGTCATCCTCTAACGCTGTTAACAGCATCAGTAAAAACTCTCTTCCAATATTATTTTTTTAATTTCTTCATACTAACATGTAAACTCTTAGACCTAGTTTGATTGTCTGAATTGGATACAAGAATTTGAGGAGGATATATAATACCTAAAGATAAAGATAAAATATAATATGTTGTAAGATATGAGATGAATTATACATACTGTGCGATCACTTATATTATGTGCTTGTTTGGCACAGCTTAACTTAGCTTTTGGCTTCAATTAAACTGTTTATAAGTGTTTGGTGTAGCTTAATGGGTGTAGATTGTAACTTTTTATAAGTGAAAAATGAGCTTTTTGGTTGAGTGGGAAAGGAGGTGCTTATTTTTTTAGCTTAAGCGGCAAGCTGAATATCAAAGACTCAAATGCCCTTCACACTTTCAAGTTATTACAAGTGCACTAGGTATATAAACAAAACACACTCATCCTCTCCCTCTCACGAAAGAAGAGAGGTGATTTGCGACGACAGAATGAGCGACGATGAGGGGTCAACACAGCATATCATCCATGTTTGAGGCTTTCACCTTGTAACCCAACACAACAAGGAGCTCATCAATATATATATATATATATATATGGAAATGGGTCGGTTTTTTGTTTAGCCTAGGGCTAAAAAGTTTTATTTTTTTGACTTTTGTTAAAGAAAAAATGAAATAATTATAGTTTAAATGTAACATTTTGTCTTATTAGCTTTTACTTCTTTTTTTTTTTTTTTGTCTAAGGTCTCACTTGGCAACTATATGTTTTAGCTAAAAAATCATTATAAGTTGTCACATCACTCTCTACTTTTTTGCACATCATTTCATAAAAAACTAAAAAGTTACTAAAATAACTTATTCCCAAGTGAGACGTAAAAAAACCACCAACCTCATTTTAGCCCATTGTCAAACGAGGACTAAGGGTGTGTTTGATTTGTGTTTTGAGATAAAGTTTCAAAAAAAATAAAACAAAATTGGGGGAGAGAGTTTATAAACTTTTTTCGTTTGTTTGGTTTATATTTTGAAAATAATTTTGGAGTTTGGGAGTTTTAAATGATTTGATATTTTGTTATAATTGAGTAGATGTATGTGAGAGAAAAAGTGACTGAGAATGAGAGAAGAGAAAAAAAAAGTGATTGATTGATGTATAGGAGTGAGAAAGGCCATGTTTAGTTTGGCTTTGGGAAAAAGATTTTGGAGAAAATTTTTTGAAATTTTTGTTTGGTTTGTAATTTTTCTCAAAAATTTTTCAAAATTACTCTCTCTCCTATATATCAATTAATCACTTTTTCTCTCACATACATCTACTCAACTACAAGAAAATATCAAATTATCCTAAACTCCCACACTCCAAAACTATTTTCAAAATATACAATCAAGCAAACGAAAAAAATTTCTAGACTCTTTTCTCAAGATTTTTTTTGAAAATTTATCTCCAAATACCAAACCAAACACTTGTGTCATCCTCTAACGCCGTTAACGGCATCAGTAAAAACTCTCTTCCAATATTATTTTTTTAATTTCTTCATACTAACGTGTAGACTCTTAGACCTAGTTTGATTGTCTGAATTGGATATAAGAATTTGAGGAGGATATACAATACCTAAAGATAAAGATGAAATATAATACGTTGTAAGATATGAGATGAATTATACATACTGTGTGATCACTAATATTATGTGCTTGTTTGGCACAGCTTAACTTAGCTTTTGGCTTCAATTAAACTGTTTATAAGTGTTTGGTGTAGCTTAATGGGTGTAGATTATAACTTTTTATAAGTGAGAAATGAGCTTTTTGGTTGAGTGGGGGAGGAGGTGCTTATTTTTTTAGCTTAATCGGCAAGCTGAATATCAAAGACTCGAATGCCCTTCACACTTTCAAGTTATTACAAGTGTACTAGGTATATAAACAAAACACACTCATCCTCTCCCTCTCACGAAAGAAGAGAGGTGATTTGTGACGATAGAATGAGCAACGATGAGGGGTCAACACAGCACATCATCCATGTTTGAGGCTTTCACCTTGTAACCCAACACAACAAGGAGCTCATCAATATATATATATATATATATATATCAATTGAGGGGTAAAACCTAACCATCGCGATCGATCTGAAACCCTAACGCTGCTTCAATCACGATCTGTTTCGTCGTGATCTCTCTCTCGCGATCGATCTAAAACCTTAGCACCGCCGCGATCGCAATCTGCTCCGTCGCAATCTCTCTTTTCTCTCTCTTTCACATACCAAAACCAGAACCAGAGAGCTCTCTCTCTCTCTCTTTCGTGTTGATTGCGGTGGCTCAGGGAGTCATTCCGGTGCTGGTGCAGTTACTAGATTTGAGCTCATCGCTGAAAATCAAGCCATTTCTAGGGTTTTGACCGTCGTGGGTGAAAGATGAGAGCATAGAAGGGAAAAAATAAAATAAAAAAATAAAAAATAGATCAGAAAAAAGAAAGGAAAGAAAGGAAATAATTAATATGTAAGAAGAGAAGAAAAGAAAAAAAATTAAGAAAAATAAAAAAAAAATTAAGAGAAGAAGAAAAAAAGAAAGGAGAGAAAAGAAAATAAGGAGAAAAATAAAAGAAAAGAAAAGAAAATGAAGAAAAAGAAAAAAAATAATTAATAATAATAAAGAAAAGAAATATAGAAATAAATAATTAAAATGAATATAAAAAAATAGAATGTAATGATATAAGGGCAAACTTCTTTTAACAATTTTTATATTCTTAATTGGTATTGTGTAATCAAAAAATAATAATAAAAAAAATACAATTTACTTCCACTAATGAAAACAAATTAAACAAAATTAACAAAGAAACGAGAGAGAGAGAGAGAGAGAGAGAGAGAGAGAGAAGAAAATAAGGAGAAAAAGAAAAGAAAATAAAATGAATAAAAAGGAAAAAAACAATTAATAATAATAAAGAAAAGAAATATAGAAATGAATATAAAAAAAATAAAATGAAAAAAAAAGGCAAAAAAGACATCCCATAGCAAAAAGTTATTTTACAGCTTATTCAACCAAACACTACTTTGCTGATTAAATCTGTAATCCCACAGCTGCACCAAACAAGTTAACAACTTATGTTTAAAATTATAATCTATAATCTCATAATTTATTATCAATTTCTCACAGTTCTACCAAACGGGGCTTATGTTTGGTTAAGATATAATATATGATGGAATAAGAGGAAAGTAATTATTTTTTATCTTTGAAAAAAGATTCCTTATATCCAACGGCGGGAATATACAACACCATGGGGGATTAATATTGCATATTCTCTTTTGGGGATATACTATCCAGACTCTCTATATCCTGAAAAAACCAAACACGGGATATAAGAAGGCAAGAAAACACATGGGGTCCACCTCATATTATATCTGGTTTCCTCTCATATATGCCCTTTATATACCCCTAACAAACCGGGCCTTAAGTCTTACTTAATTGGGTCTCTAAATAAATTAATTATTTATCAATAAATTTAAGAATAAATGTATAGACATCAATTGATACACCAATTAGTGTACTAATAGATAATATAGTGTAATTTTATTAGTTTTGAATCTTTATAATTTATATAATAAGTGGGGGTCTATAATTTTAAAACTACAATACTATAGTATATTTATTGATATATTAATTGGTGTGTGCAGCACTATTATAAATTTAAAGATAATTTTTTAGAGATTTTCATCATTTTTCTTTAAAAATAAATGTTTTCAAGAAAATAAATTAATTAACCAGTTGTCTGCTACCTACCCCGCCACTCTTTTGCCCTCCTCCTATGCCTAAGGAGAAATGGCTGTCTCACCCCACTTGTGAACATTGTCGACCCAAACCATAACCCTCCCAACCACCCAAATCCCCTCAACTCTCCTCGTCGTCGCAACACCACACTCCTTGTTCTTATTGCTCTAAAGCTTGCTCGGTGCAGTAGTTACTTGTACTCCTTGTTGCTACAAAATTTGTTGAGTGCACATGTTATTTGTATTTAAAAGTGTAATATGTTCAGGCATGTACCACTCACAAATAAGTGTAGTATGTTCAAGCATTTACCGCTGACACATACTTTGTATTTAGGGTAAATTATCAATATATCTTAATAGTTAAACTTAATTCTCATGAAATTTTATTAAAAATAAGTTTCAGTAAAATCGTTACCAAAAATAATTTTTTTGTAATGATTTTTTTGCATGTCGTTTAAAATTAACAATTAGTACTTTTTTTGTTACGATTTTTATAAATTATCGCTAAAACTTAAAATTAGTGACATTTTTCTGTGATGAATTTTTTAAATTGTCACTGAAAATTATAAATTAGTGATTTTTTTGTGACAATTTTTTTAAACTGTCACTAAAACTTATAATTAATGATATTTTTTGTAATAAAATTTTTAAATTATCATTATAAATTAACCACTAGTAATGTTTTTTAATAATATTTAATAAAAATATTATTAATTATCATAAAACCTATTAAATAATAAAACCACTTATGAGGATGTACACTCCCCTTGTATACGCAATTTGCAATAGAAGTTGAGTCAACACATAAAAATTCTCTTTGATTTTTATCACGATCACATTTTAACTGTATTTTTTTTAACAATAATTTTCAAAATAAAAATAAAAAATTATATTGTAACTTATTGTGACATAAGTTTTGGAAAGTTAGTTAA